GCTGGTGCAATAAGCTGTAGTTTTACGTCCAATGGATGATGATCTGATTAGTGACTAATCGCAAAAATAATCGGTGACTAGTCGACTATCAAAATAATCATTTGCAGCAGCCCTAGATGAGATGAGCCATTTCTTTTTAAATGCCAGAATCCCACCGTTGGTAATTTATGTTTGAATAGAGTTGATTTGAAGTGGGTCAAAACTCGTGACAACCCAGAAGGTGAGCTGAAATAATTTCACTGGGTGGTCGCATAATCCATTCTCATAAACCACTTAGAAAAATACAAAGCATAGCATTGGAGTGCTATGACTTCTTAGAGCAGTGAAACGAACGAAACAATTATAAATATATAAATAATATAAAAATCATCATTGCAGATCAGTCAATGCCAGTAACAGTAACACTGATTCTTATTCATATTTATGTAGTTTTCCTTGTTTTTTCATTATTAGTTCTTTTACGCAGTGACCTCTGGTAGAGAGGCCTGAAGGATAAAGATCGCCCCAGGGTGAGAAGGGAATTATATACATGTATATGTTTGATCCTGAAATCCTGACAGGTTTTTTTTATCACGAATGTCTCAGTACAGTTTTCTGTTCACCTTTTCTTGAGTTACATGAAGCATGACAGTCCCATAAAAGTCCCATAATCATTGACTGATTGATTGTCACTAGTAATGTAAAACGTACATGCATCTACTGTACAATATAAAGCGCCTTAAGGCGACTGCTGGTGTGATTTGTTGTTGTGTGTTGCTATATAAATAAAATTGAATTGAATGCAGTGAATCAGGCCCCCTTCCTCCGTAAATACAGGCACAAACATGACGTTGGTAAGAAAAACAATGAAATACACGATACATGAGGGGAGAGGAGGGAAGAAACTCCACCCAGACTGAGCTCCTCAGAGGAGAGCAGTTTGGGAACAAAACCCTCAATGAAGCACATGAGTCTTCACCCCTTACAACATAAAAAACACGTGACCTGCGATGGGGTGGGGTTTGGGAGAGAGGCGACGTAGACAACAGCCGGACCCTGGCCCTGGACACAGACCCGCCTGACTGCATCGGGTGGAAGTTCGAAGCCGTTGGAGGGGGGAGGTTATTGTATATCTGTCTGAGTACATGTGTGTGCGTGCGTGTATCCTGTATCCAACTCGAGAGAGTTCCCTTTCACCTAGTGTTAAGCAAAAGTCAACAATCCCCCAGCCAACACAGGTAACCTTGAGGAAGTAGGAGGATAGAGCAGAGAGTCACACGCCGTCTTTAATCTGGGAGGATTTGTTGTTCCAGCTTCGGCCCTGGAGCTTCCAGCTGGTGAGAGGAGGCCGTGTGAAGATGCATCCCTGCAGTTGATCTACTGTCCATCACTGGTCCCAGCTCTATTGATTTCCCATTGCAGTCTCCATGATTTTATCTATAGTGCGTTCAATAAGCACAGTCTGAGCACTCACTGCATCCGTCATGCCGGTCAACCTTTTTGGGCAGCTGTGACCGCTTTCATTAGTCGTCGATAAGCCAGGGCTATGCCAGCTCCAATCAGCAGGAACCCCGTCATCAGGGTTCCAGATGTCTTCAACGTCCTCCATCGAGAGTGTTGCCACGCCCCCAGCCGTCCATTGTGTATGCAGCAGCCAACATTCCTGCAGGACATTCAGGCTCCCCTGAGCCCGGGCTTCTCGTTGAGATGTCAGTCGCGTTAAGAGACTAGTTGATCAAATCCAGAATTTCTTGATTTTAGAGAACAAGACTGAGCGAATCGCCGAGTTAGACCAGACGAGACAAAAGAAGCCAAACAGGAAAGATGAGGGAGGGAGAGAGGAAGATGTGACTGCCTCCGTCGAGAGCCGAGCCTTTATTGTTAGTATGGTATATTGAGATATGCAGTGCCCTTTGACCTCCAAACATGGTGTATAATGGCTTCCACAGAGTTCAGTTTTGGTCTCAGGCTATATTTCACAGGCGTCTATTGTTATTCAGCAAACTTTTAATGTTTTTCTTTTTTAATTTTCTTTAGCAATGCAGTCTTGCATGGCGAGCGTGCATACAGGCCGTGGTGTGCATTTCTTATTGGTTTTTCTTTGAAACTATTGCACCTGATGATTCCAGGTCCTTTTGTAGTTTTGGTCCTCGGCACTTGGACAACTCCTCTGATAATTTTCACTTCTGTCTGAAATCTTGTGAGGAGCAACTGGTCATGGCTGGTTTATGGTGAAATTATGTTCTTTCTTGTTCCAGATTATGGCTCCCATAGTACTCACTCAATTGGTCTCACTCATTCCCTCCAATAAAAGAGTAGCACCACAAAACTGCTAGTTCCAACCTACCGAAATTATGTCGACCTCAATTTCCATCTCGTGGAGAAACAAACACCAGAAAACATTTGTTTGTTAGATCTGCTGAATGCAGGCTGCTTCTCAAAAGGCACCAAGTGAAAAAGAAGCCCAACTTTCTTTAATTTAATATTCATCAAATCAGAGTAAGTGACAAAAAAAGGGAAAAACCCAAACCAACACCTCTTACCTGTACCGACCGATTTTACACAAAGCCTGGTTGGGGCAAAGAAATACCCCAAACTTTATGACTTTTCTTTCAGATTTGTTGTTATTGTCATTGTCACGCTGTGCACAGGAGTTAGAGCACGTCATATACTACTCTGGAAGGTCGATGGTTCGATCCTTCCAGTATGCACACCAAAGTATCCTTGGACAGGATACCGAACCACAAGTTGATGTGTCCAGAGTGTCAGTCTTAGAAAGCCCTTAGGAATAGAAACAAGTATTTGCATGAATGTAGGTGTAAGTGCTCTGAGTGTTCAAGCAGAGTAGAAAAGCACTCTATAGGAACCAGTCAGTTCATATTGTGGTTTCAGATAATGCAGTAAAGTGCTCCCTTTGAGCCAAAACTCTTTAAACTGCTTCAAATGCTAGATTCATCGTTACCCGTAAGACTGATTTGTCATAATTAGCATCACATATTTGTGTTTTGTCTTTTACTGCACAGTGTACCGTGGAGAAGGTTTATCACACATAATAACAAACATGAACCGTCCGGCTGTGGGGCTCTTTGTTCGTTTGGCAGCCGTTTTTGGACTTGAAGCTTCAACTGCTTCTTAAATGTAAGAAAATGCACTTTGGGCATATTCGTCTTCTCTCTCCTGCCAACCAGCAGAGGATGTCTCCCAAGTACAGTTCCAGAATCAAACGCGTCTCCTTTAAAGTTCCTGCTATGACGAAGAGAACTGAAAATAATTATGCAGTGGTGACAAACATCTGGCAGCTACAACACTGTTGCAATAGCGTTGCTTGTGATATTTTTCGGTTTTAACAGAAGATGTACCAAAACATTTTTAGCAGTTTATTCTTGAATCAAAATCACCTTAAAACAACATCAGC